CAGCCTGTGGCTACCACCTGAGCACAAAGACTGCCCTTCCTCCCACATCCCACAGCCCCTCTCCTAACAGCCCTAGCTCCAGGAGACTCCTACCCTGCTCCCCTAGCCCCATGCTCCCTCCCACCAGCCCTGCTGAAACCCCTTTTCTTCCACCTCCTCCAGGCCATGGCTCTGGCGGTTCTCCTCATCCTGGCTGTGCTGGCCACCCAGGTTGGGCACAAGTGCAGCGAGCAGACGAATGTTGCGATGGATGACCGTATGCAGCAGCGCAAGGAATACCTGAACCGGGAGATGACTCAGCTGCTTCAGGAGATAGAGGAGAGCAGCGGCGCGCAGGAAGACACACTGCTTTCTGTGCTGTACTTGATGCTCATATGGACCATGTTGGGAGCTTTGTTGTGCTGTCAGGCTTGGGGAATCGTGTGCGCCTTTCCTGGCTGCTATGAGGAGGAGGACGATGATGAGCAGGAGGAGGGCAACGATGAGCAGGAGGAGGGCAACGATGAGCAGGAGGAGGGCAACGACAAGCAGAAGGAGGGCAACCTCAACAATGTCAGATATTTGGTTGAGTCCACCCCATTGCTAGTGCGGCAGGGCCTGCCTCCTGACACGTGCAAGGTGCTGAGGGAACTGGTGGAGGACCTCCTGAGTGTCTGTCGAATGATCTGCAAGACAACATTCATGCTGCAGATGCACGTGGCCGTTGGGGAGGACGGCATCCGTGATGCTTGGAGTGTCCATGAGAACACCATCCTCTACCGCCTGCTCGTGTTCCTGCAGCCACCCCGCGGGTACTCTTTCAGCCTGGAGGAGGACACCACGGGGCAGCTGTCAGCAGTGATCTTCCGGGCCCACGTGGTGACGGAGTGCATGTGCCAGAGGGAGCAGCTGATGCTGGGGGATACGTGCTTTCTCCATGGCGCCGACAACGAACTGCCGAGGGATCAGAGCTCAGATCTCCTGCACAGGCTCTGCACGGACACCTACTTAGACATGGAGAAAGTCATCTGCTGGGCCCAGCTGTTGGTGAGATCAGCCTGGCTGTGTATGCCTCAGGCACAGCAGTGCCAGCTGACTCTGCGGCCCTCCTCCCGGAACTGCACCTTCCAGCTGACAGGCACCTCCACCTCCAAGATGACCATCATGACAGAGTTGACTTTTGCAGTGAAGCCAGGCAGCCCAGGCATCTACCTAAGCTCTGCGTAGGCACAGGCCAGCTTTACCAGCAGCACACCACGACCAGAGAGCTACGCTGCTGTTGATGTGCAGCTTCTCAGACTCACAGCGAGCGCACCCAGAAAGACAATGTCCACCTCGGAGGTCTGCAGCTCTGCTCCTACGTCTTGGAGATCATGGGCTTTTCCACCGATGCTCTTGACCCTGCGGACCTCCTTTCTTCTCACACTGGTGACACCCTGATGGCAAATTTGGACACTGGGACAGATACAGCTCATCCCAGAGACTGCCTGTGGAGTCTGTGGCGCAGATCTGAGCCCACCAGGCATGGAGATAACAGCGTGTGACAGGAGCTCAGCAGGATCAGAGTTTGGGGAATCTTCCCTCAATCCAGCTGAAGATGCCATTGCAACAGAGGCTCCTGCCACCACCTGTGCGAGGATGGGACCACCCATCCTCTTGGAAAGAGCTGATCCCCTCTGGGATCTTTACGCAATGTGGAGATGCCATAAATAAACTTGTTATAACTAAACCACTGCCTGTGAGTGTCTGTCCAACACTTTGTGGGCAACGGGGGCGGGCCGCAGGTTGCTACGGATGCATTGCGTGCAGATGGCTTGCAGCCATGCAGACAGCAGCTGTGGAGTGCCCCTAAAGCTTCCTAAAGGACCCACTCCTCACTTTGACAGGCGGTCTTCAGACAGAGATGAAGCCAAAGAGCTGGCCTTAGGTGTTCATTTACAGACCTTTGCAGCTTGCCAGGTATCCCAAACATTTGAAGGAGACTGGCAAGTAAGAAAATGGATTTTGGGGAAACTCGGCTCTTCCAGGGTAGCAGTTGGAGGTGTGCTGTGATATCCCACACAACCAACAATGACCCCACACTCTTAGGAGACAAGTTCAGGATCTCACAGAATCACAGAATTGTTGAGGCTGGAAAAGATCTATGAGATCATCCAGCCCA